ATTGCACCGTTGACTCGATTTTTCCCATCTGGTATGCACGAGAGTTCGTCATTATCGCGGAGACACGTTCCACGCCCGTGGCAACTCGAGAAGCGGTCTAAACGCGGCTTATAATTCTTCGGTAATCGTTTTTTCAGTTGTTCGGTTGGGACAAATGAGAAATATTAGGTTGTAACGTGAACACGTTTGGTTGCCAGGACTGTGTTCTGGTTTCAGGAGTTTATGCGGTTACGATTCATTGGCGACGCGTGTAACCGTGATTAAGAAGAGAGTTGTAGTCAACGTAAATCTGTCACTGTTGATTTATTGATTTCTGAAACAAATAATAATGGGAAATATTGAACACGGTTGAATTTATGTTACGACTTCGCGTGAGGTTTGAATGGTTTCGTGAATTTTAATGGGGTGCGATGTTTGTGGAATAACATTGTTGGTGGAAAGTATCATTTGTCACGCTAACTTGTTTTTTTTTGCATTGTAAAGTAATAATAATTTATGTTTGAAATAGATCTGTGCGATGAATATTCGGAATCGTGGTTAATATACCGATCCCGATGAACTTTGTTGTCAGGTTGTCGAAGTATGCGTAAGAATTATGCAATGAAAGCGGAGTAATTTATTTTCTACGAAAAGTTCCAATTTTTTAGGATTGGACGGTTGTTTTATTTTGTTTACGCATTAATAGTCCAGTAGCAAATCGAATCCCAAAAGAAATTTAATGAGATAATGTATTTTCATAGGAAAAGGCTCATAATTCTTAAAAATTCATAGAAAAAAGAATTTTTTTTTAATTTAGTGGGATAATACGTCTTCTAAAGAAAGAATTACAATGTTCAAAAATAGAAGGGTTGTTTCATTCTGTTCGCGTAACAATTGCAGAAAAGAGAATTCCAAAAGGAATTTAACGGAACAATACATTTCACAGGAAAAAGGGTTTCAATTCTTCAAAGTTCGTATAAAAGGGAATTAAAAACAGATTAAGTGTTACCACGCATATAAAAAGACTGCTTCCAGTCTTTGAAGATCGAAGAATTGTTTCGTGTCGTTTGCGCAACGATAGCCCAGAAGAAAGAAGGTATCCTTTATATAGCAATGGCTATCGAAACAAAGAGATCTTTGTAGTGTGACTAATCGGGGTCCAGACACGATTCAATTTAGCTGACGCGCAACAATCGTTAACTATAACTCCGTGGCTGTAAGACGAAAACCGACAAGAGAGCAGCGGCGCGATCAGCGGGATCGCTGGAAGGAAACGGATGCTCGACCCAGTTCCTACAGCACGCGCGCGTAAACGCGCTGAAACACTTCGCGATCGCCACGCTACACTTACGAAATCGTCAGCATTGTATGTGCCGGGATGGACAAAAAACAAGACTCCGGTCTGATATGATAGGTATGCGGGATGCGACCGTGACGGACACGTTGCCTCTACTCGTATGCAGATTATTCAGATAAATCCTTTTCTATTTTCTGCCGCTTCCCAGTGCTCGGTGTACCATTCTTTTTTTTTTGTACATCCATCTCCTTATAACGTGGCTGTTTTTTCGAGTGGCTGATTCGAGGGATACGGTTAGAATGCTTTTGTCCTTTAACACTGAAACTACCGAGCAGTTAACCCTTAACGATCGAGAAGTTTTTCTGTAATACTACCCCATAAGACGACAGAAAATTAGGTGAAAACTTATAAAACATTTACAAGAATGATTAAATAACAAATTTAAACTGGATTATTTAGATATAAATCTAACATATTTAGTTGATTACATTCTTTACATGTCCTCATATTGCACTCTTTCGTTTTCTATGGCGTAAGTTTTATATCTTCGTAGCGCGGCCTTCCGACCGTTAGGGGTTCACCCTTTGCACTCGAGAGGCGACTCTCAGTCGTCATTTGAAAAATTCAGTATAAAATGTTGAATAAGGTATTAACACATGAAACATAGAAATAAAACAATTCTGCCCCATAACTGATGCAACATATTTCTTTATGTAAGTTGCAAATAATATTGTTAACATTTCGTTAGAAAATAATGAATGCTTGTAGTGAGAAGTATTGTCGAGTGCAAAGGGTTAAGCCTTTGTACTCGATTTATTTTCAACGTTGTTGGGTGTAAGCTTGTATTTATTTTTAGGGAAATGAATTAAAGTAATTTATAGCGGTAGAATTCAACGTTTTATATTTATTTTATTTATTATTATTATAATAAGATTTAATTTTTATGATCTTCTAAAGTGTGATACTTTTTCTAACAATTTCCAACGTTCTATAACAAATTTATATTGTCATCTCCGGCACGATGCACGAGTGGTAAAGGGTTAAATTGACTTTTTAGAATTTCTTTATAGAAATTCCAAGAGTGCGTCTATCGGAATTTCCATTGGTTTACAATTGAGTTTTCGCATCGCTAAATCAATTTCTTTAATAATATCTCGGAATAACATCATTCTAATAATTGGAAAAGGAAGAATTCAGGAATTTTTACCCATCTGTTAATGTTTGTGACCGTGTCAATATTGAAACAGTTCGATTAGGTCGTGTGATGGTAAATGTAGAATTATTCGAAGAGAAACAGAATTGGTTTTTTGATTTAAACAAATGCTTCGTTAATCGAATTACGTAATAATTGATTGTATATGTTTTCGTTAAGGGTTAATGAATATAAAACAAGATATTAGTTAGCGATTCACTTTTTGCAGATGAGTCCTGTGTATAGTACTGAGTTTGATATCGTTCCCAATTTTATTATTTGGTCATCATTTTTTCTATTTATTAAAAATTAAAGGGTGCTATGAGTATTAAAACGTTTAAATTATTAACAGATTATAGTATTATCTATACCGGAGGAAAGTTTTAAAGTTGTCTCTGAAGGGTTAATTGTTGGAAAGTGATGCCTTTCGATGAGTATCTAAGCAGTGCTTAAGCAGATTCTTAAATTCGTTTGGGCAGTCGTTTGCCAAATTTTTAGATACTTTTTAAAAATTATTTTAAATTACCCGAAATTTTCTAATTGGAATAAATAAATTATTAAAATGGATGCTTGACATAGATTTAATTACTGCTGTTTAAGGATTAACATATAGTAACATAACACAAGGGCTTCGATTTATGGATTCCTTTTCCTTGAATTAAGACAGCCTTGTGCAGCATTTTAATAGAATATATTATTTATATAATAGAATATACTAATTAAAGGAATATAATTACAGTAGAATATGAATTACGTCTTTTATCAAAGAATATAAATTTATAATTTTTATTAGATTGGCCCATTTATCTTACGTATTGACACGAATTCTTCGGATTTGTGTTAGATTTGTTTTTGTCGTAATAAAAACAAACTGCTTCGCGTTACGTTCTCAAATAAGGAACTTTTATTTGCTATTTAATTCGATTTCACCGGTTGCAGAATTAATGGTAGACTACGGATTTTATGTATTCATATTATGGCGTATAAAATTTTATGTATACTTTTAACTACATACTTTACATTTACATCTAACTGTATGTTATATAAATAATTATATGTATGAATAAATATATGTATATATAGGTAAATACTGTAGAAATAAAACAGTTATAATTTACATTCGCCATGCAGGGATTATTTCTATTATGCTAATATTAAATTTTTCGGAATAAATAATTGAAATTTATAACCCCCATCTTCTATAATAATGGGAGTACAGACTACTTGCGGCCACTGATTTATACATTTTAATTACATTTATATTGCCCACCAAAATTTTTTCATTATTTTATTGATTGGTAGAAACATAGACTTGCAGACGTATATACATAAAACTATCAAATTTTAGTTCCTCGCATAAGTAAATAAATGCATTCGTTTACAAATATTAAAGATTAACAACTTCACAAATTATTCTGAAGTATATTAATATCATTGTAGCACCAGAATCTTTAATATGTTGACCAATAAAAATAAAAAGTAATATGATTGTAATAATTGTCGTCCAATTTTACACAAGCAAAAATTTATTTTTATGCTAGCTTCGACAATTTCGTAAGGAATTCTTGTAGGGACGAACTACATTTAAATACCTTTACATGTACTTTTGAATATTCGACATAAATTGTGTCTACTTCCGACGTTACATAATGGATACTTCTTATTTTACTCCGTATCGCAAGCTATCGATTCATCTTACGAACGAAACCGTGAAAGGCCGTTTTTTCTGGTTAATGTATGATTCTTTGCTTCATTAACCATTTCCTTCTCTGGTCCGCTTGGCTGTATGATCGGGTACGCCGATGCAGCTTAACGTCTTAAATCACTCTGTCTGTATTACAAAAAACTGTTCAGCCAACCGTGGCGAATAATTGAAATTATTTGCCATATAATGAATTATACTGCTTTGAAGCCTTCAACCTTCCAAAGGGGGACGATTTAACGCGATAGATTCGAGCCGGGTCATTTGGATTCAACGCGGACATTCCGTTGCATGCTGTTTCAACGGAAATGCCACGTATCGAATGAAATGAACGTGTGTAGTAATTATATTTGCAATATATTGTAAGTTTAATTTTGAAATATAGTTTTGCATCAAACTGGTAGTTTATTTTTAAAATAGGTATAATTTAATATCAAAATTTGAGTTTAATATAAATATTTAAGTTTAAGTTTGAAATATAGATTAATATTAAAATTTAAGTTTAACTTTAAAAGATAAATCAATGCACATGATTTATGAAATGAGAAATAATAATTACTACAGTTCATTATTATAGTTTAGTTTCATTATTTCTATTATCTTAAATAAAAATATAATAATATGTGCTTGAATAATTAGCTTGAAGTTAGAGTGCATTTACTATGCAAAAGTTGATGCTCTTACGGAATTATTGGAACGACAACTGTTGACTTGGTTACGAAGCAGTTTAATTTGTCATGATGAATGCTATGTATATAGTGAAATGGCCTAGAATCCAATCGTCGAACGTCAATGCATTAAAATGAACTATTTAGAAATGCAAGCAAACTTACTCGAACGAATCAAACCAAGTGAGACTCGCGCATTCTTCATCAATCCTCGCTGGCCGTCGTGAAATTGGAATCTGAAATGACAGAAGATCAATTATTTAACTATTTCGAATTCAGGATTTTCTGCGTGCTACAGGTATTTGATTAGAAAAGTGAGAATAACGTTGAGATTTCTAATGAAGGACTTCAATGATTTCAAAAATAGCTGCTAATATTTATCAATTATTAATATTCTAATGGATGGTTACACGAATTAAAATTAAATATGATTTCTGTTGCGTTTTCAAATGATTAATGATTACGAATTCGTTCATTTGTGAGGAGATACGTTTGTTCGAGTGGGGAAGGAGATTTCGTTGAAGTGTTCTTGGCTGCATGTTAATGGCTCCTGAATACTTGAAAAATATTTACATTCAAACCCACAAATTCATTCCAAAGAGCAACCACGTCAACATTCCAGCATCCCAATCTAAAAAGAATAAAAACGTCCCGTTCCAGAACACGCAGCCTCGATCCTCCGCGCAGATCTCCGCAAGGCAACATACCGGGTGTGCTGCACGCGTGCTGATTTATTGTCAGCTAAGATCTGACTGGGTGATCGGGCGCGGTGCATTATGCATTCGCACGCAGTTTCACGGAGGTATCGTGAAATTCATCGAAAATGGGGGATCGTGTAGGGTGTCCCGGTCCTGTGGCGAGTTTCGCGCGGTCCCGTTAGGAAAGGCTCGGCCAGATATGGAACGATTCGGCGAAACCGCGGGAAACACGGTTTCCTCGTTGCCGTGCTGTTGCTGTTACACATTTCAGGCGATGTTTCAATCTGACGCGGGTCCGTCGTATCTCCATATTATCGCCATTTCGCCTGGATAGAGGTGATCCCGCTGCGGTTCAGCGCTGAAACCCGAGAGGAGAAACACGAAAATTTATCAGGGACGATGGCGCGGGTGCGAGCACTGCTCGCCGAGAACGTTTGCTTCCGGGACCCGACTCCCGACGGGCTGCTTTGCATTCGATCCCGTTAAAAGACAACCCGGAGATCCTTTCGCTTCTGGACAAATTTAAATTGAACTGCACGCGTATAGAGCGGAATCTATTGCGCGTCTCTCGCCGGGGATCTGTAGCCTGTCACGTTTCCACTATGTGGAGAGCGGAGCCCGATAGATTTCCGAGGGATTTCGTGTCGTGTTTCTCTGAGCTGGATCGGGTGTTAATTATTTCGAGGGAGAATGGAAAGTGTGCTTGGTGTAGTGGATTTGTTAACCCCTTGCACTATGGTTTCTTTTACAATTGCGTTCTAGATATTTTGTTGTTCATAATTCATTAGGAGAACGAAATTCTATGCTTATTCTGTGGCTGTGTTTACTTCGAGGTATTACAATTAATAATAGGAAAACGATACGGCACGAGTGTGATACGATATTTTAGGGTTAATTCTTTTTTTAGGTTTGTTAGAAAGTCGCAGTTTGTAATGAGGTTTGTAAACAAGTTTTAGGTTAACTTTAATTTTTTGCATGTTTTAGTTGAGAAGTTTCTTTTACAATTTAATATTATATTTATTTTGTATAGGCGCGTTGTGTTTTTATAGAATATTGAAACAGAATTGCTTGCTTGATGATATTTGATGGTTAAAATGTTTATAGAGGATATTTATAAATAAAAAGAACTTCATAAAATCAGTAACCATTTATATCTATTATTGTATTATATTATTGAAGTCTTATAGATTACTTAAAGAAATCAATTTTGTTTTGCGACAACATCGAATATCAATCATATCTGATTCAAGAATATATTTAAAATTCATCAAAGCAACTACAGACATATTACTTTTCGAAAAAGTTTGTAACAAAACCATAATCGAAAAAACAAGATTCTTATACTCAGTTCTCCAGCTTAAATTACTTAGCCATATTCAACGAAACACTTAAGACTACTGAACCAGTTAACTATGGAATTTAGTTTGAAAAGTCTCTCATTGTGCGCACAATAAAGTCAAATAATAAACTCGTCAAACACAGAACAAATGCATCTATAATATATTCTACTGAAAAACTAAAGTAAACCGAAGCAGAATTACACATTTATCCGAAAAAATAAATAATTTATTGTTGAAAATATTAGTACCATTTTGTGTTTTAAGATGACGTGCATCCTCGTCGAACGCAGTTAACTGGTTAAACATTTCAGAAATATTTCGGATCAAATAAAGATTTCATTTTCTTATAATCGCTAAAGTAGGTATGCTATTATCGCTTCACTGTCACGAGGCTGATTGTAACGTACTTCCGTTCATCAAAATCCGCAAGATATCCAAGCCGATCGATCCTCGTAGCGATGGTATCGCGGTCGCCAGATCCTCTTCCTACTTCCTACGTCCAGGAAATCATCTATTCACGATACAGCGGCGCGCCACGAAGATCCGAAGCGTCTCGAAAAATCGGGAACCCACTCGGTCCCGAAGTTATCTTCATCCTCTCCGATCCACTTCCTCCGCAAATCGTTGGCGTCGTTGGGACCGGAGCCAACCACTTCTCCTGAGATTGCAAATTTCTTAGACGATTACCGGAGACCTGGGAAACAGTGATCTTCTCCACACAAGAGCAGCAACAACCCCGGAACCAGATGAACCAGATGGATACTCCAGGTCATTGTTCTTCGATCGGTGATCTACAAACCGGTGTCAGTTCTAGGAAATTTTCTATAGTCGCTAGGTAAAGAATACATGAGGAATATTCATTTAATTTCTTTATATTTAACACGTTGGCTGCTACGAAAAACACCAGCGTTTTACGTATCACTTATTCTTTTATAACAAAGATAGAAAGGAAAAATTATTAATTATTTGCTACCACAATTCTTACGTTACTCTGTTGTCAAATGATTTACGCCATTGGACAGTTTTATTCGAAGTTAGTTGTCTTATGAAATATAATTGTTTTCAAGTCATTTCGAAACTCCGGTCTCATAGGGTCACTGTGCCAGCGAAAGTGTTAACTGTAACCGTACCGGCATTTTTCCTACCATAACCAATCAAATAATTGATTACGAATTAAAGCTGAACAATTAGGTGATACAATTTTCTTAATGGCAACGGAGAGAAAAGAAAAGACAAAAATTGAAAAACTGATTAATCGGATAATATAGGAATTGATATAAAGTTAATTGAACAAAAGAAAACGCAGAATTTTACATTCATTTGATCGGTTCTCGTTTAGCTAAATGAAGAGTAGATGGAGAATATTCATTTCTTTTCTTTATATTTAATACAGCAACTAGACGAAGAGTATTTATCTCATCTCTTTATATTTAACTCTTTCCACTTGAAAGTTTTTCCGCTATAAATACACGTCATTTTCCAATGGAATACGAATGACACTCTTTACAACTAACCTAAAGAGAAATCGCGTATAAATTAACGAACATATTTCGATATGTCATGTATCAATACGTTATACATCATTTAATATTTAATGTCACACTTTCTAACTTCGGTGCATGGTACATAAATATACATATTCATTATTCTCTGATGAAGCGTCGATAATATCAGTCGCACCTAAGATATAAGAAAACCTTGCACTAATTAACCAACAGAACCATTTTATTTCTGTCTCATACATTGACACTTCATCGAGAATTAAATTTCAAATTTTTGTAAAATGATAAATTTCAAAAACTAAATTAAATATCGAACTCTTAAATACTGGAAAATAAAGAAAACCTTTTACTGTTTATATAATTAAATCCTTTGGTTGTATCTTTCGATTCCAGGTATGTAAATCTGATGTGATCAATAGTACGACACACGTCCTCGAAGGGTTCATTCTTTGATCGGCAACTGTAACTGATCACAGGTCGCGGGTTGGACATTGCCTACTCCGGTAACCACAAAAAAGCGGACAGGAAAAATACGCACAGTTCATAACCCATACATATATGAATTATACAATTGTAAAGCATACAGGCGGGGGGCGAGGTGCTCTGCATATTTATTGAATTATTGCAAAAAAATACTAGCTTATCATTAAATAAATTATTGATTGCTTTGCAATTCTTCATAACCCTTTACTCTTTAAATTATTTCTTAACTATGATCGGCACAACTCCTTTATCGTTAATAATTCACTAGAAAACGAAAAAACTTTGGTACTTATTCTATGTCTACGTTTACTCAAAAGGTTAACGATTGATAATAGAAAGGTAATATTCAAT